TTTGTTCTTCTGACGGAAATTTCTACCGTTTCGTCAAAATACATTTGGTTATTTTTGGTAATTCAATACCAAGAAGCCAAATTAATATGACGAAATTTATCACGTTTACTAAAAAAATACAGACGTAATATAAAAATAAATTCCAAGGCTGACACGAAATTCGAGAATATCAAGGCAATTTTTTTAATTTTTGTGTAGGCCTGTTAAGAATGCAATTAGTTCAAGAATTAATTATGACAAACAGATAAATCCAGGAGGCGGATAAGTTACAACAATTACGTTGCAATAACCCTATTATAGGAAATATCCACTTATTGGAATACTAAAGCTGGATTCAACGAATTATCTGATCTTACAGACATCTTATTCGTCTCTGGACAACACATCAAAATGGCCTATTATGTTTGTGAGTCGAAACAGTGACCTTTCAACAAGTAGACCTTCGTGTAATAGCTAAATAGGCCCACTGCAGTTTTTATGTAACGTATTATACGCAAATTAACTGTTTTAATAATAATTCCTTTTTGAATAACGTAGGCCCTATCATTTGTCAACAGTACAAAATAAATTTATTACATATCGAATGTAGGCATGTAGTGCTACGTTATACCAATTCAGTATTTCATGGGCTATAAATTAAACGAAATTTAAATTTCTTTATAAAATATGAAATTTTAATCAGCACGTCTATTTAAGGTACAGTTCGAGCGCGGAAATTCCTAGTTAATGCCTTGTGACGAAAATTGTCTCCTCTTCGTATAGGCTATTCAGATATCATCAAGAGGGTATTATCTGCCCACTTATTACAGCCCTGAACATGGAGGCAGGATATTTTTCCGAAACACTTTTACGACGTCACAAACCAGAACATAATCGTTATCAACACTGTCCTCGACGCAAATACAAACATTTTAAAAGAAAGATGGTACGAGAGACATCAAAGCAGTAATAGTACTATAGACTTAGCCTATTAGTTACTTTAAGTCACAGGTACACTCAGATTAAAGTATCTTAAGCAGATCCACGAGCCACTTGACTTAAGGGATTGCGCCTGAGAGTTTCCGTAGTTTTATTCTGTTACCTTAAAATTTTTCATTCAGTTTTAGTGGAATGGGGCAATACGAATTGCGTACAAATTCGATCTAAAAATGTAATTAACGCCCATTGTAAATATTATTGTATCTGGGCCCTACCTGGAATGGCCAGGGGGGAAGTTTGTAAATTTCAATAAATACACGAAGCTGTGCTTGTGAAACTATAAATTACGAACAGGCCTAATTAAAAAAAGTCTCGAATAAACATAAGTCCAGAATATTTAGTACGCTTATCGTATTATCATATTATTTAGTAAGGTTATCGTAATAGAAATGTCAAGTTATTTAGGCACGTGAGAAAATGTAAAATAAAGCCTACGTACTATTTTCTGTTAATAATATTCATGTGTTTTATTAATAACAACAACTTTTTGGCCATAAGGGCTGGGAATTTTTTTTAATATGAAGTTTACAAAAAAAAACAATAAAAATTAATATACAATACACATAAAATCTCGACGCAACACTTTTATACGAAAATGGGTTGCAACAATTCGATCGGTAAAATAATAATTGATTTCTTCTCTGCTATTTTGTATTGAAACTTAAAGTTCTGTGAAACAGAAATGTTAAAAATTCATTACCTACTTCGAAAACTATTTTCAGAGTTTCGCTCGAAATAACTAATAATAGGCCTAACCAAAAAGTTCGCTTTGAAATTCTGATGGCCGGCAGAGAGCGCACGGCACAACAGAATATACGCAGGCGTACACATCTGCATTTAATTAATTTAATTACGAGTTATTAAACATGCGTAAGCGAAGAGATTACCTAACCTAACCTGACTTTATGGAGCACACACCTCGTGAGAAACCTTAACAAGTCAAAAAATTCCTCGCCTTTTATGGAACTCGAAAGTTTATTACTGTGTTTATAACCTGGGCCACTTGAATCCAATCAACACCCCGATATTTTTTTTTTTAAAATTTCCCTTACGCGCTACGTGTTCGTCTTAGATTTGCTGGTTGTAATAATAGACTTATTTGGTGAAAATTAAAAATTATATGAGCTCTTCGGTATGCAATTTTCCCCAATCTCCTGTCATTTAATTCTTATTAGGCCTAAATATTTCCTAATGTAATTTATTATCAAACATCTCAATTTCTTTTCTACTCATCGCCCTTATGACAGAGGCAGTATGACCTCTGAAACGTTGGTAAACATGTACCAGATTACACAGCGCAACAACCCAGAAGACAGAAACCTTCTTTTCTTCCTTTTATGAGCGAGCGAGGCAAATTTTAGCATCGATACAATACAACAGGCAAATTTCTAGTTCTTTTTTTTACGTATTTTAAAATTTACGTTTTTAGACAAGAGCCTGGAAGTTTATGGCCACTGTCTTACACAAATTTCGTCATTAATGCAGTTTGTTACCGTCGTTCACAGGTATCTTATTTGAAATTAACTAAGCGCCCAAATAATTTGCTACCAGCCCTTAAAAATAGTACGTATTTTATATTATCATTCGAAATTTTAACTGTTGATCAACGAAACGTGAAATCAGGCCAATACGAAATCTTGAAGTAGGCCTAATATTCCCAGCGGTAAAATAATTTCGACTCAACCTCAGACGAATCGCCCTTTTATTGAGAACCAACTCTTCGCCTTGACGATACGAGATTTTGGTCGTTTCCACTGATTCTTAGGTTATTTAACGGGATTTTCTTTGAACTGCAGTAAATCTGTTATTTGGGGGGAAAAAAGACACGTAGTACCTTGGTCAACATATGAAGTCTCCGAGATGAGATACGAACAAGGGACTTCTCGAATATAAAGCACGAGTGTCTACATCGCAAATTGACAGCTGTTGGGAGATCAACAACGGAATCAAACGAGACCAATCGAAATGCTTACCTAATTAATGTAGCCTATAAAGCTCATACTATAATGACGATGGAAAGTGCATTAGGACGTCTGTGTTCGTGAAACATTTTTTTAATATTTGGGGATTTTGATTTTAATTTGAAATCTTTGAAATTGGTAACACACAAACTACCCCTAATCCTACAGAAAATGTACAGATTTTGAGAAAATATCCCGCACTACTAGGCAGGCTTACGTAAAATTTTACTTCTGCCTTGAAGATGAAGGCAGCTTGTTCGTCCTAAATATTGGCATATAGGAAAAATACTACATGGCAAAGTCAGGATAATGTTAAAAGATTTCGTCAAAGCTCAAACAATCCGGCGTTTTAGAATATCCGGTCTGCGATCCATTGCTCCACTGTTTTTCCGTACCGATTCAACCAATTAGGCTTCAATTTGATCGTGTTCGAGCTGAGATGAAAAATCTGTGAATGATCCTCTAAAGGTTTGCAGCGAGCAGCTGAATCATCAGATATTACGTTGAACATTGCCCATTGTCTGAAGTTGGCCACGATCTTATATTTGACACGCGATGTTTTGGTATTTGATTTTACTCGCGAATTCAGGTTGCTGGTTGTCATTAAACCGACGAAAAATTTATATGTCGATGTTCTATTTTAAGATATCAACAGAATATGAAATAAACTGTAAGGATTTTAATAAAATTTATTTTTAAAACAGAAAATTCCAAAGGCATTTTTATTGTTCGTTTACCACAAACACGTACATACGATACTATAAGGTTATTTATATTGGTTTATTAAAAGAATAAATATTTTACGGTGCACCGGTGAGCGTAAGTTGTTTAAAATGAGACTGTGATGAATTTTCTCTAAGACGGGCAAAGATTTTTGGATAACCTTGTGTTTAATTTTGGAAATGAGATAGTAAATCTTTCCAGGGTGTGTCCTCAAGACGAAAATTTTTGTATTTACAATTTATTTTTCTAAAACGCGACATTTAGCACCGAGGGACTGAAAGATGGAATTTCTCTGTTATAAAAAGTGAAAGGCGAACAGAGGAACTTCTGGCATGTTTTTAGTTGCTTTAACGTCGTGGATATTTAAATCGAAATTTGACTGACCACTTCAAACGAAATGATAATTTCTAGTGTTTCCGGAAGAGAGGTTGGGATTGCACGTGTGGCAAAACTGTACTCTGACATAATCGGTTCTGATAAATAACAGTCTTCAAAATAATTATCTTTACCAACAAATTACGAAAACTCTGGTAGGGCCAATTTTTTGTTGACAGCAAAATACGTATTCCTAAATTTAAAAAAAAATAGCCTTACATGTACACGGGACTTCTAATGCAGTAGAATAAAAAATATTGACATCAAGATCGTGTTAGTTTTGTCAATTTTTTCATTTTTTTGTGAATTAAAAAAACTATGAACGTCTTAAAACACGTATTTTAAATTCTGTACCGGACGTATTTAACAAACACAAGTAAATTCTTTACAAATCCTTTCCAGTCTCTGCTCAAAAATTTCAATAATATGACAACAAAACAATTTATTGTTGTTTGAAATTATATTTCTGGCACATATTAGCAGGGGTTGGCGGATATAAATGCTGTCTAAAATCTGATTTGTTGAAACGCGTCTTTTCAAATGCTTGGGTTTCGTCTTATCAAAATATCGGTTCGAAAAACGGTTTTAAAGTCAATTATGAATTGAAAATTACGCATAAAATAATGGCCATTTATTATTTTAAGGTCCTGTACTAAAACTTTACTTCAATGAATTAGGAAAATTACAAAGACAGCCAGACTTCGGTACACAGTTTAAAACCCAGAATACAAAAAGGTGTTTTAACAACTTAAACGAAAAAGATTTTTTTTATTTATCGAATAACTTACGGAATAAGCCTCTAGTAAAGAATTTTAAAAAATAATTTATAACGTGTAAACATAGGAACGAGGCTAAATTTAAACTTATTTTGAAAATTAGCTATATTTAACGATAAAAACAAAAATATCACGATTTGCGTGCCCTGTGTTGGTCTTGTCACAAACCGTTTTAATGATTACTTACTCCATGAAGTCGACGAACGTTGTGTTCCGTTGGAAGAGCCACTCCACATCCGCGTCGTACTCAGAAGCTCGCCGGCTGAGGAACTGGTTTAGCTCCGACGGAAAGTCCGCTGGCTTACCGACCTCGGCACGTGCGTCTGCACTGGAGAGTCAGGTACACCTGCTGGGACACGGCTTCTATAAAACAGGTTCTCGTTCAGAATTCTGTGAACGTGAAAGTGACTGCCAGGAAGTTCACGTTATTCGTGAATTATTATAGACCATTGATAAGGTTCTTAAGTATTATTACATTTTCTGAAATCGCTAAATTCATTTCAAGTACGTAACGTTGAATTAAATTTTAAATGTTATTCAGATATTTTAAGTAAAATATTTTTGTGCTAAACTTTGTGTATTTGCGTCAACCCCTCACTTAAACACACTCATATAAATAAGTTACGTGTACCATTTTGTTCATTAATAACGAAAGAAAGCTTTATATTGCTTACAGTACATGTTGTAATTCACGTTAAGTTTCCAGCTGATTTAATACCTAAAATAATTTTATTTTCAGTTACGTTATTACGTCAGAAAGAAATACTTAATACGTAAAGATTTTATCTTACTTTCTCTCATCAACAAAAAATGACGCCATAGGCCTAATTTATTCAGTTTCGCCTTTAATAAACAATTTCACAAAATCTTTAAATGTCTTCATGACAGAAGAGATTTTTCTAAGAAATACGTCTCTGTAAACGATAATAATTTTTTAACATTTAAATACTATTTATATACAGTTTTAACAAACGTCTGTGTATTATTAAGACATCAGCCTACGATCTATGAATTTTAATTAAAATAAAGTTAATCGCGGTATATTTCTTCGCGACAGAGACGTAACAAATGAAATGCCCTTCTCTCATTAAAGTACAAAACTGAATTAATAGTTTAATTAAATTTTATACCATTTTTTCTTAATTCGATATGTAGGACGGACATCCTGTTACGTTTTATTTGTATATAATAAAGAAGTGTTTAACGAGTAACAATTAACATTTCTATTGTTCACTGTCAACGTGTGTTGTAAAATGTCAGTTCTAAGTTCGATGATTGTTGTCATTTACTTACAATCATTCAATAAAGCACCGAAATTTTGCAAACTGTCTCCAAAACGTGTGTTAAATTCCAATAATGCGATATAAAATTAATTGCCGCGTTAAAAGAAGCCATTCTCTTCGAATTCATGTTAAAACGAATGAAAATAATATAACTGAGAAATACTTGGACAATCTTTGAAATGTAAAAAAGGAAAATATTAATTGTCGTGTCTTTTTAAATACGTAGAGCCACGCATAAAATTAAATTATTAATCATATAAAAGTTTTAACTCAAGTGGGTATAAATTCGGGAGATATCCGGTCGTTCTACAGCTTAGGTCAGAATTCTGCGTTGCCTGAAAGTAGGCCGCCTTCCTTACCACCGCACAGAACTGCATTTTCATTCAGGGGGCTTGCGAATCTCTGCTTTTAAAAAGGCGTCGTTTAATAACTTAATAATGAATTACTTTAATATTGCATTTGTAAGTAGGGCTTTAGTTTATTCCTGGATTAATTACAGATAAAGATTAAGGGGAAATTATTTCACGAATTTTATTCAGGCACGCTCAAATTTTAGGCCTAATGCCAAGGACGAATTAAGGAATCGAAGCCATGATCTTTTATATGTTTAATACGCAAATTCTCGTCAATTTTAGGAAAATATAAAAAAACTCTAGTACAGTAGTTTTGATAATAATAATAAATTAAAACGTAATCATAAAATGATGGGCCAACATAGACTTTTAAGTAGTAAATAATATTTTAAGTTTGAAATTACGAGTAAGATTATTTCGAAGTAATCCATTTTTTTCTTTTGTTTTTCAAAAACTGTGTATTTTTTAGAAACACGTTTTCGTAAATGTCATTAATCGACATCTTTTATGCCAATAATTAAGATCGTAACAACAAACAAATTCATTGATAGCTGGCTAATATATTTTATAAATTTCTGAAATTCCAGTGTTACAGAACTTAAAAAAAAAAAAAAAAAATCTTTCATTACTCTCTGACCCACAATCTGTTCAACGTCTACACCCACAAATCCTCGTTACCTTGAAAACGGGACGAGTGTTTCTATTCATAAACACCTTTCATCAATTGACGGGGAAAGGTCACGGTTCAATGGACAGCGGAACGATCATACATTCCGACACTTTTTTTTTATTTTCCTGTGTTTACGTTCGTGCGGGAGCGTGGCGCTAGCTGTCTCTTTCATTGATGAGCGCGAATTCAGTTCGAATGGACCACAATCTCATCGTAAATCTACTGCCACGCGTTTGTAATATTCCTCATATTGGATTATTCCCACAATTATTGGCAGTTTCATCTGCAAAAAATATTAAAATATAGACGTAATCAATATTAAAAGGAGGGACGTAATAATTATTACATTTCGAGTTTTTTAATTGTAGCATATCAAAATAATAACAGAAATTAATGAATAAATATAACTTAATAATTAACATTCTATTAAAATCAACAGTTGTAGTTGTGAAAATTCGCACTTTGTCCTCAAGAACAGCGTTTATGGCGTCTAATGGAACGGTTAGTGGGAATTGTGACAAGATTTTACGATTAAAATATTGTAATCGGGAGAAAAATAAATGAAACGTATTTTGTGTTGAATGGAAATGAAGATAATGAAGCGAGCAATTACGGGCCAAGTAAGAAATTGTCGTGAAATCGCTTGAAATTTATGAATGCAGTCGATTATTACAAATGTGAATGTTAGAGCGATAGGAATGTGTTGATGGATTGCATGTGGCAGGTAAAATTGCTGCTTACGTGTACAGGCTAGAGGTAAAATGTCTCCTGTCTCGCAAAGCGATCCGACATACTTAAGTAGGGGACTTGAAAATGAGAAAACTTATGTCTTGTATTTGAACAGGATAATTTGAAAAAAAAAGTAGGCCTATTCCATAATTATTTCCTTGAGTGATCCACAATGTATTGTTTGTTGAGTTAAACTACAGACCAAAATCTCACGGAGAGAAACGTAACTTTGAAAAATTTACGTCGTAAAGGAAAATTAATCTCCTGGCCTTATTCCAGTAATCGTAATTATTACATTATATTTAAAGTGAATAGTCTAAATTGTTACGGCTTAACGCTAGAAACACAATTGGGCACAGTAATTCCGAGCCACATTGAAACATATAACGTGTATTGTTTATTATAATTTTTATTGTTGCTTTGTTGGAAATATCGAAATGTCATTTTAATGTCAATAGCATTTTCTCGTTCATTTCTAAGATTTAGAACAGGAATAAAAGTTTGAGTCTGTTACGTCTTACGTCACTTGAACGTTGCGTCTTATTGTAGCATCACTGCCACGGGGTAAAAACCCATTTGCAGTTAATAATAAATAATAAAAGTCATGACACAAAGAAAAACAGTCATTAAAGTGGGTTTTGTATAGAAAGGTACAGATTATACTGCCCTGCCGCAATGCGTAGAAAATCTATGAAAGATTCGAGGTTCTTATGGTGTTTAAAAAAATCTAAGTTCGGTTTTCTGGGCTGTAACGCGGTGTGGACCAGTTCGTAGATACCATCGATTCGATTGAACAAAATTCGACAAAATATTATCGTGTGAACAGTGAAGTTTGTAGCAAGTATTTTTATTTCCTTCGGAGAAAACAGCTTCTTCCTTACTCATGAAATTTGAGGTTTTAACGGCGGCAAAGTCTTCACGGCTGAAGATGGAGACAGTGTGTTCTTCCAAAATGTTGGTATCTACCTACAATCCCACGTGGTTTAACAACGTAGATGAACATCGTCATGTACTCTACCCGTTGTCCACTCGATGTCGATCCAGCCAGCAGCTTGAGGGCACGCAGCCAGTGACGGGACCAACCAACACCTGCAACACATTTTAAATACAGCGGAATCTTCATTTATTATATCATCATAATCAATCTATGTCAAAAATTTATTTTTATAAAATTAATGTTCCGAAACAGGAATTTTCATAATTAGTTGAGTTAATTTATTAAGAAATTTTTTAAAGGTATATTTTAAATTATTTACGATTCGAATATTTCAAAGCAAATAGTGGGCAATATGTTTATAAAAATTAATTAATAATTAATTTCTTCTTATCCACCTATAGACCTGTTGTACTGAGAAAATAAGTTAATGTAAAGTATATCGAATTGATTATAATGAATTTATAATAATTTCTAGTTGCCAAACTTGTTCTAATATGTAACACGATATCCTGGCGTTATAATATATTTTTTCAGAAATTTCTAAGGACGTAAATTTGATTGTTTGATATTTGAAACTAACGTACGTTCAGTTTTTCTAGTGAGTGGAAGTGATATTTTCAGTCACGTGTACAATTATACAGTATTCAAAAGAAATGTCTTATTAACGTACACTAAACTTTCAAGATCAAAATTTAATAATAAATTACATCTTAAATAAATCATAAACTAAGCATAGATAAGTTTTTAGTTTTAGGCCTAATTATTACGTTACTTCCTGCGGTCTCGTAACGATGTTACTCACGTTAACATTGTTTGAGTTCTGTATTTATCGGGGATAATTATTATAATTAAAATAACACTATTTTAATTAATAAACGTTTGTTTACTATTTTTAAACTAACAGTGGAGGAACTTTAAAAAGAGCAACATATTTTAAATATATAACAGAAAAGTTATAAAGCAAAACCTCTCACAAATCTGAGTAAAATGTTTTATCCAAATTACTTCAGTTTTAATACAACAGAAGTTAAAATTAACGAGGTTAATTAATATTACGCGTTTTGTTTTGTATTAGAATAAATCTATACTAATTTACTTTGCGATGTGATTTACTTCAACTCTGATCGTTTGTTTACGGAACAATACGACCTAAATCTGTGGTAACTCTTTCCTTGATCAGATTCTCTTTTAAATTCTTCTTCTCAGTCTATGACATGTTGAGATACTGCCTAAAGCCATCCAATTTCGTGATATCTGCTACTCTGAGATAAGACATGAAATATTGACTACGAAGTTGCTAGTGCTTCATAGAAATAATCTGTGCTTTCCAAAACGGAAATTAGGTCCCCACAAAGACAGTTACAAGCTGTCAGTGATTACAAAGAAACTTAGCTGGCCATTACAACTGTTTCCAATTCCACTGTTTGCCCAGACATAAACTGACTGTGGGTAATAAAGTTTGGATTTCAGGCCTACTTAAGAACTTGCGTCCTGAGTACGATTCATCGTCAGCTTCTCTAAATGGCCAGTGCGATTTTAAATTATTTAACGTAACGTCTGTAAAGTGGTAATAAAATTACATTTAATTTCATAATAATAATAATAATATGAAATCACAGATTGTTTAAATTAATAAAAAAAAAGAGTTATTCATTATGGACATGAAGATCGGTTTCACGAATTTAACAAAATAGTTTCATTTTTTATATTTAAAGACGAAGGAATGCTCATTCTTAGAAACGTAGTCATTTTCAAGGTTTTAAGATTCTTTAATACTTTTTAAAACAAACTATAAATAAAATACAAAAAGGAAAGACTGTTTAGTTTTTCAGAATATCTCTATTCTCATATTACATCGCTATAAATAACCGTGAATATTTAATTACTAACACTTTTAGACGAAATGTTATTTAATAACGTGTTAAAAGTTCAAGTCTTCTTGTCGAAAAGAAACTTGTATTTAAGAAAAAGCTGTCAGAAGGAGTTTGCATTTTCATTAACATTTAGTGGATTTACTTTTGATTTTGTACATAAAAATGGTTTCATTTACTATAATTACCCGTATTTCATATACCATAGTTTATAATATCTTATATACGGATTATTAATAAAATACACAAGCATATTTATAATTGTTAATCTCTGTATTCTGTTATAAGAAGGAAATACTAACTGCTGTTATAATTTATAATATAAATGCAATAATTTTAATACGTTCCGTTGGTTAACTGAATATTAGAGTAATAATTACTAAGATATTTTCGTTCTTAGTTGCGGTTGAAAAGTACCATGATTCCCGAGATTTACCGACACTCACGGTCCGGGAAGCGGGGAGACGAGACTGGTCCAGCCGTAAGCAGCTGCATCTCATCTCTCCGACAAGACGCAGGTCGTCGAACTCTTAGGCCTAACATTCAAGTAAGGATCGTCTAGACAAAAATTCATATGACTAGATCTAGAAAATTATCATCATTGATATTAAATACAAGCAATCGTTCATAAAATTTGGTTTGAGAATTATATTATTTTGAATTGAATTTAATAATTTAAAAATACCAATTGAGATATAATTTTTTGAACTTCGAAAATAAATTAACGAAAGTGTCTGAAACATAATGAAATTATATTCTTTGTAACAATCTTGCGTGTTTTTACTGTTCCTTTCACAAATAAGCCTGTGTATAAACATAAAGCAGTGAGTAATATTGGCTGACGTTTTGAAATGTTATTTAATTAAATTTAGGTTTAAGTTCAATAACAAAAATTAAGTACGTCTTCTACATTAAATCCCAAGCGAACACTGAATGGGAAACTGAAGTATTTTTTTTAAAATAAATTTACTGAACGTATTTTCATCCACTATTAAGAAATTCATTACCCCAAAATTACATAATTTTCATTCATACGTCGAACATGTGAGATATGAAGTCTTTAGGGAGACGAGTCTTAAGGTATTGTTTCCTGAGACATATCACGGCGTATTCTGGTAGATACTGATCGACGTTTCAGATAAGCTTACTGCCTCCATCATCAGGGCGATGATTCATCGTCATCTAAAGGCAGTTTACTTTTAGCCCGACAGTTATTCAATGCATCCATTATTAAGGCAGTAAGCTGCTCTGAAACGTCGATCAGTACCTACTAGAATACGTGTACCATATCCCCGAAACAGCCGCCTATATGTCATTCGGTTTGAGGAAATTGACTGCTTTTAACTGAAAGGACAGTTGATCTAAGCCTATATATTTAATATTACGTGGAGTAAATTTTATATAATTTTATATATATAAATTATGATTTTACAAACCATATGTTACAGAAATTGTTTATTACTGATTTAAGTATTGCCACGACAGGGCATACTTTGTCTATGGAACGTTTCTTTTTGTTTCCAATTCCAATTCCAGTTCAACAATTAGATAATTAAAATAAATTAACACTGATATAAATTGAATCGAAGATGTCAGACCTTGTAGTCTCGTAGAAATTTACAGACGTTTCGGAGACGTTTATTACCTCCAATTTCAGGTTGTGAGTGACTCATCAAATTAACTATGAAGGCAGTAAGCACATCTGAAAGTTGGCGTAATTCTACGAGACGCAACATCTTAGAAGTCAGTAATTTTCTTACCCACCGCTGTAAGAACTTAAAAATAGCCTAAACGTTTATTAACTAATTGAATGGAGTAAATTCCTCCTGAAAATGGCGATGGTCGATGAAGCTGCAAATACATTTTCCACCTTTTATGAAACACGAATATTTATGACACGTGATACATTACAAATCAAATTTTTATCATTTCCGGTACTTGTACAAATTTTGAAAAAAAAAAAAAAACGCCGGCAAGGAAGCAAAAGTGGAGATGAAGAAAAGTGTACCTAAAATTCTGAAATAATTCTAAGAA